GGCAACTGGGCTCTTGTTTGCAGACCTGAACCAATGCAGTTTTAGGTCTACTTTAGGAATTTGGACCAACATTTTTTACCTAAAATAACTAAAGTATACTGAAATGAAGAAATTTGAAAATAAATCACATTTCATTCACATTCCCTTTTCTAAATTAACTTTGCTTTGTATTGGGTTGCCTTCCAAATGATCAGCTTTTTAGGAGGGGAGAACAGAGCATGATTTTCATACCCAGAAATTATCTTCCAAGCTGCCAGCATCTTGTCCATTTATCTCCAGGCACAGTCTCCTTGCACCCTAACCTTTTTATGTTCAAGATACTATAGCAGTCATAAAAGGCTAAGATTGAGAAGCTACCAGCAGGCAACCTTCATACTTCCAAAAGTTGCTGAATTTGCAATATTTCTCATAGTGTATTTCCTGGTATACCAATCCAGCTGTCCTGAAGTGTAACATTAAAAGCCACATCAGACAGCTATTAATACAACAGTTATCACCAGCTTGCCTTGTCCCTCCAGGCAAACAATGGCTGCAAATTTAAGTGGTGTTCAGAGAGAAGTGGGGACTGAAAGGCAGCTAAGAAAACAGGCTTTATCATCCCCAATATTGTGCCAAACACAACTATAAATTCAGATATTAGATGTTATGATATATTCTTTGCTTATCATTTTATTTTTATTCCCAGTCCTTTGGGGTGATAGTTGCAGGCAATTCATTTAACTTCCCTTGTTTTCAATTTCTCCATCTACAAAAAGGAGAGAAAATATATTTTGCCTCCCTAGAGAGCATCCAAGATCTCAGCAAATTAAAAACAATTTAGTTTGTGAGTTCCATATTACAAATGAGGAAATGTGGTGCAGGAGAGTTCAAATGACAACTTTGAATTCACACTCTTGTGTGACAGCAGGATTGAGCTTCAAATTCAGCTCTCCTGAGTGTTTTTGTGTTATTCTTGTTTGTTTCTGATATCCAAATTCATTTAATTTTTTTATAATGGGTAGTTATTATATTTACAATAAAACTTACTATTTAAAAAAATAGTTTCACAGATCACCAGCCCAGGTTGGATGCATGAGACAAGTGCTCGGGCCTGGTGCACTGGGAAGACCCAGAGGGATCGGGTCAAGAGGGAGGTGGGAGGGGGGATCGGGACGGGGAATACATGTAAATCCATGGCTAATTCATGTCAATGTATGACAAAAACCACTACAATATTGTAAAGTAATTAGCCTCCAACTAATAAAAATATATGAAAAAAAAATTAGTCAGAACTAGAGTGCTGATGTAAACAATGTATAAGGATCTCTTTACATGAGGGCCTTCCCCTTGGTCCTACCCAGATAATCACTTTTTGTTTGTTTTGTATTGTTTATTAGCATATGAAGGCAAATTTCAGCTCTACTTTATTAAAAAAAATTTGGTCTCAAAGCTAAATGCCCTGATTTCTTTTGCCTAAATGAATACAGGATCAATTCTTTTCCTGCCCAAATTGATCCCTTTAAAAAATCATAATCCAGAGAAGGGACAGAGGAAATCTATAAGGATGACATGGTTAAGGTCATCTTTTGGATAGCTTTTGGCAAAATTAAGAGCCTTTTTAAGTTCAGAAACTTGATGGTAAGACTTTCTGGTTCTTATCTTAGTAGATGGGCTGAAATGAAGCCAGCCAGAGGTGCAGAGGAATATAATTAGGTTTAAAACAGAAGAAAACCACGAGAGAGAAAGCAAGCAAACAAGAACGGATGCTGTGAGCACTAGCTTTCCCTGCTGGCTGGTGAGACAGTAGGGGTGTGGTTGACGTGGTTAGTGCAGCCAGTCAACCCTGAGGTTTTAAAAGATGAAACATTTCCATCCTGAAGTGAGCTGGACAGGAGCAAAGCGCAAGGGAGGTGTGAAAAACACCGAGGCAACCCTGTGGCATTCGGCTCAGGTCAGACACCAAAAATATCAGTAGCCCGCAGGGCTGAGCACAGCACAGGCGGCCAGATGTGAACACTCAGCAGGGCTGAAAAATGCCCCTTCTGGTGCCTAATGACTTTTCCCAAACTTACCTGCAAACCGTTTTTTCCCCTTCATATTCTTTTAAATTTTCATTTTTTGGCCATGACATGAAGCATATGTGATCTTAGTTCCTCAACCAGGGATCAAACCCACATCCTTTGCTTTGGGAGTGCAGGGTCTTAACCAATGGACCAGCAGAGAAGTTCTCCCACCTTCTTCATTGTTTTTTTCTTTATTTTCTTTTTCTTTCTTGCTGTTGTTCATCATGGTGTTTTGTCGGGGGTGGGGGGTTGCATCAATTTTTATTTTTATTTATTTATTTATTGGCCACATCTAGCAGCATTCAGGATCTTAGTTCTCCAGGCAGGAATCGAACTTGTGCCCCTTGCAATGGAAACACAGAGTCCTAACAACTGGACCACCAGGGAAGTCCCTCCCCTTCATCTTTAAGATAAGAAGTTGAATCACTGAATTTCCTTCCTTACCTTAAAAACCAATAACCTCCATTTCCTAAGCATCTTTCTAGATTCTGCTCTATAACTGAGTCAGTTGCTCTTCTGATATCCTGAGTATGAACTGTTGATAAATTTAGATTCTAATGTTTAATATTTCAATATGATAACATTTGGAAAAATCTTATTTGTCTTTTGAAGAACTTGATCTTAAACCACTGTCATGATAGCAAGTTGCTTTTTTGAACTGGAAGTGACTTAAAAAATAGATAACTTCATTTTCAGCACATAACATACAGCTTCTGTTTATGTCAAAACCAGAAATTGGTTTCTACTGGGGGAGGAACAAAACCCTCCCTTTCACGTCAGGCAGTGGCTTAAGAAAGTGTTCTGCAGATTTTCGCAAAGCAAAAACCATACTTTCACTTCTGCAGTGTGCACAGCCTTTGACCAGCACCAAGCCGTCACTAAATTTGCAGTAATTTTCAAACGAGCCACACCCTGGCATCGAGTTAACACCTGGAGTCATTGGCACAGGCAGAAATCAGATGCCGGTTTTTGGCAGTAGGGAACAAATGAAATACACCAGTTAGGGTCAGGACAGCTTCTGAGAAGCCAAGTGATAACTTTCACTGCAGTGTCAATGTCAGTTTCATTTCCTAAGGGTTTGGGGCTGACTGGACAGCGCCGTGAGTCCCCTGTGGCCAGGAATACCTGAAACAAGAAACAGACATTCCTTATGTGCTAAATTGCTCAGTCGTGTCCAACTCTGCAACTCTATAGACCATAGCCCGCCAGGCTCCTCCGTCCATGGGATTTTCCAGGCAAAAACACTATAGTGGGTTGCCATTTCCTCCTCCGGGGGATCTTCCCAACCCAGGGATCGAATCTGGGTCTCCTGCAATTCCTGCATTGACAGATGGGTTCTATACCAGTAGCACCACTGGGAAGCCCAGTGTTCCTTATACTCCCCAGTAAACTTAACTCCTTTCATCTTCTTTCTTTAAAGGAATGTCATTTTGATTATAGCAGGGAGTAAATGGCTAGTAGAATAAGAGTGTGTCTGTGTTGACAGGTTACAAGGTCAGGAGGTGACAGTTCCAATGGCCAGAACCTGCCCCCTCCGTTGTACAGAGGATGTTTGATGCTGGGTTTACTGTGCTGTGTCAGGGCAGGGGTCTTGTTGAGAGCATGGGGTAAGACTCTATCCTGGGGGGCGGGGGGAAGAGAGGACATTTCTTGGCATGCGTGGGGAGGGGAATTGGTCATTGCCTGGGAAGGAGGCTGGTCCTCAGGAAGGATCCAGAAGTGGGAGGACAGTGTGGACAGACAGGAAGGGCAGCCCCTTCTTCTCATGAGCGCCCCCTACCCTTGGGCCATCATTTAGACATATTCTGCAGCCCCGCCCCTCTGGGGGGGAGTGAGGTGGCTTCCACTGTAGGGGTCACGTGGGAGCAGCGTGGCGAGGCTTGTTCGGGAGCCAGCAGATCCTGAATCACTCTCTGCAGCTTTCATTTAGGCCTAATTTTAGCTCACTCATGGCTGTGGCTGTAAGAAATTACAGATAGCTTTGTGTGTCTTCTGGGCCAAGGGGGAGTTGTACATGATGAGGGGGAGCTCTGGTCTCAAGTGGGACGGTCCCAAGGGGCTGGTGGGTGTGGAAAGGAGAAGGTGGCATCTGATCACCAGCCCCAATGGCACTTTTTCCTCTGCTGCCCTTCTTGGAAGTAGTTTATCCCATAGTTACGCATAGGACTCTTGAGTCAGACTTTGTGGATTTATGTCTTCCTCTGTCACTCATTGGTCATTGACCTTGGGCAAATTAGCCTCTCTGGGTCTCAGTTCCATCGGCTATGAAAGGAGCATGTAAGGTTAGTTGTAAGGATTAAATGAGCTTATTGGATAACGTGTAAATGCGACTTCAGTGTTCACTGTTCTTTTAAGATTAAGGATGTTGGTAGATTTCCTGACAACAGGGTCCTCAGGATCACAGATGAAATGAGCAAGCGCCGGCAGAAGGCAAAACCGAGGAGAAAAGGGGATGGAAAGACGAGCAGAGAAGAAGACGACGTGGCCACCACGTGGCAATGAACAGGAAATGGTGTAAAAAGACACCCTGCACTGTCACCTCTAGGAGAAATTGTCATGGCATGCCTGCTTCTGCCCAACCTGCAAAGGACAGAGGGGAGATTTCAGCCTAGACTCAGGATCCGTGATGGTGACAAAAGGAGTCGATTCAAAGAAATCAACCCCCTATGAGATGAAACTTTTTGTATTTTATAGCACAGACTCTAAGGATATTTGGTGCCGCATCTCGTGGAGGAGCTGATGAAAGCCTCGGTCACAAGGAGAGTCCGCTGGGCTCTGGTCTGCCGGCTGCTTCTCGTGACATGTAAGGTCTGAAGGTCCCTGTGGGACTGGTTTCCTAGGGCTGCCATACAAATGTCTACAGACTGAGTGTGCTCGCTCACAGCCCTGGAGGTTAGAAGTCCCAAATCAAGGGTGGCCAGGGCTGGTTCCTTCTGGAGGTAAGAGCTGAAGTGCAGAATGAGTGACCCTCTGAGCGTCCAGCTGCCGATGGGGCTTTCCACAGGGCCGGAGTGTGCCAGCCACCCGGTGTCTCTGTCGAGGTCAGGATTTGCACAAAACAACCGAAGGGCAAATGCTGGAGGGAGGGTGTTGCATAAAAAATCACATCCTCATCTGTTTGTGCAGCCTCTCCACACCAAACTGCTTCAGTCTCCACCAGGGAATTGCTCCAGCTCCTCAGGGTACCAGAGGCCAGAGAGGAAGGACAGGTCTTCTGCCCGTGGACACAGCCCAGCTCCTGGCAGGCAGTATGACCTGCTATCAGATGCAGCTGAGCAGGAGATTCCAAGCCACTTTATTTTCAAATAGGCAAGAGCAAATCAACAGCCCTTCCTTTTCATCTGGCGGGCATTTGCTTCCTGCCACAGCGCTAAGCAACGGCTTCGTCCCTCCTGATTAGAGCTGCCATTAGTGAAACGACCCCTCAGCACGGTGAGTCAGCTCGGATCCTGACAACTGTAACCATTCCAGATGGTGAGGACATCGGCAACCATAATGACCCTTCTGGCCAGCATCTGCAGCGGACTGTTCTCAGGACTGTGGGCGACAGACGCGAGCCTGTAGCCCGCAGAGGTGTACAAGGGGTGACTGCAGCATCACGACCCTGATTCCACCAGCCACGGGTGGGAACCAGCTGTTGTTTTTCAACACAGTTCACCAGAGGGGCTTGAGTCCAGCTCCAACTGTGAGAAGCAAAGAGCAATAAGACTCAGGCAGCTGAGCAAGAAATAGGTGCCCTGACAGGGAACTCATCAGTGCTCTGTGGTGACCAAAATGGGAAGGAAATCCAAAGAAGACGGGATAGATCTATACATATAGCCGATTCGCTTCGCTGTGCAGCAGTGACATGACATTGTAAACAGCTATGTGCATACATCCTGTTGTTCAGTCGTGTCCAACTCTGCGACCCCACAGGCTGTAGTCCGCCAGGTTTCTCTGTCCATGGGGTTCTCCAGGCAAGAATACTGGAGTGGGGTGCCATTTCCTTCTCTAGAGGGTCTTCCCGACCCAGGGATGAAACCCAAGTCTCTTGTGTCTCCTGCATTGGCAAGCAGATTCTTTACCATTGCGCCATCTGGGAAGCCCCAAAGCAACCGTATAGCAGTAAAAAAAACTTAAAAAAAAAAAAAATAAAAGAAACAGGTGCTCAGATTGTCTTGGGGACCTTCTGATGACAAGAAGGCTGTTGGTGGGATTCTTTGCTACTTTTTCCTCAGTAGATTCACAGGCATTAGAAGAAAAGACAGGCATCGAACATGTACATCTTTCAGTGTGAAGAAAAAAAGCCCTCTGCAGTTGCTCATGGAGACAGCAAAAAGCCCAACATATTGGCATATCGGATTTTCAGGGAAAGATATGCTAAGTTAAAGAAAAATAAAGTCAGTTTTTAGAATGTGTGCAAATGACTTCATAAAGCTGTTTGAGTGAAACAAGCCCCCCCCCCCCCCTCCCCAAACCTGATCCGAATGTCTGGCTTCTTTGCAGAACTGTGAGCATGTACTAAGCACAGCTGAATTTATTTTCACAATTTTCAAGCTTACATTATAAAAAATAGTACTGGGTGAAGCCTCATCATCATTATGGCAGAGCCAAGCGCTCATTTCACAATTGGTCTGTTTAAAGTTAATAGTAGATCAAGTGAGCAACTGCTAAAAAGATGATGCATTGGCTTAATTCCGTGTTGTTAAAGAGCTCGGCATCCAGAGTCAGTATACACACAGAGGCGTTGGCAGACGGCTCCTTTTGGTAATAATACTCACTTTTATGAATGGCTCATTTATTTTTTATATGTTCCTCTTTAGCCCTGCTCTCATTTCTCCCCTCTGTGCGGAGTCTGGCTCCCAGGACTCCAGGTAGAGGAGGAAGTCTAGATCTGCATTTTAATGAGGCCGGTGAGCAGGCTGCTGCTTAGCGCCACAGCAGTGAAAAACGACCAGGAAAAAAATTAGGAAAGCTAATCCGTGGCAGAAACTGGGTTCAGAAGTGCCAGTCAGCTGGTTATTTCCTCAGTCTTCACCCTGTGCATCTTTGTAGATGTTTCAAATCCAGCCGGTGACTCATCATTACAGAGCCTCTCTCCCAGCCACTCACCTCCTGCAAGAGGAAACTTTACATGCAGAAGGCATTTTATCTTTTTCATCTCATCACCTGAAGACTAAAAAGAGGGGAAACAAAACGTACAACCCTCAAAGGAAAATGAACTAGACCTTCACACTGAAGGTGACTGAGCCGAGTGGAGAGGGTTGGAGAGGGGCTTGCACCAGCTTTTCCTGCAATTATGTGTTAATAGCAGGACCCCAAAGAGTCTGATCATCGAGGCTGTGTGGTTCCTGTATTTTCTCTAGGCACCAGACTCTGCTTGCCCCAGATTTCTGAATGTTTGCGGCCAAGGAGGGTACGAGGCTGCCCTCTGTTATCCTCCCGAGCACGGACTCCTCTTTGATTGGTTCTCCCACTGCGAAACCCTCCTGCAGAACAGAGATGAGATGGGAAAAAGAGATGAGGATGAGCAAGCTGAGAAAGGGAAAAGCAAGGAGCTCTTTGGGGTCATGAGCTACAGCGAGGGAGAGCTGAGACTCCTCAGAACAGTGGCAGAGCCAAGTGGAGAACTTCAGCTGCAAGGTCAGACTGCCCTCCCTGGAATCCCAGGTCTTCTGTTTCATAGCCATGACCCTCCATCTCTGGAAAATGACCACAGTCATAATTCCTCTTGCAGGGGTTTGCTGAAAGGGTTACATGAATTAGTGCAAGTAGGTTACTTAGAATTTTCCCTGGCACAAAGTGAGTTCTGGGCACTGTTGTTATTTCCACACTTGTACTAAGCAGTTCCTGATTTAAATGCCCCAAAGTGCCTAGTGGTACCTATCACCCTACATCAACAGCAAGAAGACCTCATTAAGGGAAATTAGGTCTCTCCCGCCGCCTCTCAGATCCTTAGTGAAGGGAGCTGGTCTTTGATGGGGATTGCTCCTGGGCACTGAGGGACTCAGGCCCCCAGTGTGTGGTGGGGAGGGGGGCACTCAGCCCAGGTCCATGACGCCTGCACTGCAGAGCTCTTTTTCAGGGATGATAGGGTCCTCTCTTATTCCCTTTCTTTTTTCTTCCTCCTTCTTCTCTTCTTTCTTCTTTGAGAATTTATTTGAAATATGCTTTTGAGGAAGTCTCAGCATACTGAAGTGCTGGATCTCAAAAAGAGCTTACAGTGTGATTCCACAGCATGGTCCTCAGACTCTCCCCTGGAAAATAATCTGGGATGCTTATTAAAACCACTGATTCCTGGGCCCAAACCCCCTCAGGGATGAAGACTCTGGACTTGGAATTTTTAAGCAGCTGCTCGGATGCTTTTTGTGCACTGTTTAGTGTAAGAACTGCTGACTTGGAAATGGTTTAATCTAGCGTCTTGATATTGCAGATGGGGACACTGAGGCCAGGGAAGTGAAGCGGCTGTCCCAGAGTCACCCAGCTAGTTGGTGGTAGATGCAGAAGTGCTGGGAGAGGAAGCTCGGGCTGCTCTCGCCGCAGAGAGGGCTTCGGGCTCTCTGGATGCGAAGCCTCCCCAGACAAGCTAACACCAGAGTTCTGTTTCCGCTCCAGCTGGCACACAGTCCTGGCCACAGCCACAGGAGACTTATTGCCATATTTTACAACAGATATAAATTCTGTGTTTCCAAATAAAACTCCAATCCGGTATATGCTCAATGAAAACAAATTAATTTTAATGAGGATCTCACTTACAGTGTTTCTGGATGTTGTGTGTTTCATCTGGTAATTTAATGCTATTTTACCTGGAGTGTTGATACTGAATTGATGAAGTGGTTTTTTTTTTCTTAATATAGAAAAGAAAAAACCATAAATATAACCGTTTCTCAGCATTTTAAATTTGATAAGAATCACTAATGATAACACAAAACTGTGTTAAGCGGCAAACAGTAGATCATGACAGAGTTGAGAAATGTCAGCTTTGAAGGGGGATGGCAGGGAAGACATAGCTACAGTATGGGTGTCTGTATCTTACCTCCAAGTCATGACGTTTTAGGGGCATTTGTCATCGTACTGGACATAGCTCAAGGCCAGAGTCTGTGACTGTTGTCTTCTTTATACTGGCCCACAATCCTGAGCTCAGCCTCATGGAAACACTCAAAATATATTGCCCGATGAATGGGAGAGGGGGTTGAGGTGAAGATGAAATAGTGGGAGAGGAGATACGTGAAGGTGAGAAAAGGAAAATTAAATCAAGGTGTGGAGGAAGCCTTTATAGGACTGGTGTGTTTGGAAGGGGATCAGTGTCACAAGGGGAGTGGCATGGTTTGGCAGGCAGGCTGCAGTGAACCCAAAGGAGCACAGACGGCAGGAGGACAGATGTGGAGAACTGGAATGATGGAATGGGAGGCTGGGCACACAAGAAGCTCCCTACCAGTTTCACATTTGAAATATCTCAGATGGATGGGTGAACCATCCAATGAATTTCATTCATTCATGAGAAGCTCCTATCTAGTTTTACAGTGAAATCATCTCAGAGGGCTGGCTGGCTGTTCTCATTTCATTCACTCATGTTTTGTTTATTCACCAATTCATTCCATGATCCCCAAAAGATTATTGCTTACTAATGATAATGAGAGTACTGACTACCAAATATGGGGTGCACTGCCCCTTCACACAGCAGAGGGTCTGAGGCTCAGAGGTCAGCTGAAATGCAGATCCAAGCCCGCCCCCTGCCGGGTCTCCTTTGAGTGACTGTAAAATTGTGCAAAGTGAGCCCTTATTTGGGTAGGTTCAGATGGAGCTGCCACAAACTCCCTGTCAAATGTTCCCTGACTTCCTCCAGGAACTCTGGTTCTGCCCAGCTCTGCCTTCCACTTGCTGTGTGATGTTGTTAAGTCTCCTCATCTCTGGGGTCAAGTCTCTTCAACAGCAACATGCGGGTACTGACCAGGGGACTTCCCTGCTGGGCTAACATTCCATACATCTGTTACTGGAGACTTGTGCCTCTCAGCAGGGGGAGTATTTATGAAACCACATTTCTCTCGACTGTCTCCTCTGGGCTGTGGTACAATCAGCCCTCACTCACCTGAGAAACATTACTATTCTTAGTAAAAGAATCACTGACTTTCTTCCAGGTAGCAATGCACACATCTCAAAGGCTACATCCCCAGCTTAACCTAAAGCAAGAGTCACCTCTTGTCTAAGCTTTGGCCAGTGAGACGGAAGTGGATTGAGCTTTCAGGGGAGTCTGTTTCACCTCCTCCTCCTTCCTTCCTGCTGCCAGAAAGACAGCTTTGATGACTGGAGCGCCAGCAGACATCTGGGGC